CCCCAAAACCCCAAAACCCCAAAACCCCAAAACCCCATAAAGTATTATTTTAATTGAAAATGATAAGGAATGATCCACTGATAACCTTTGGGTCCATCAAAATAATTGATGGGCTGTTCGTCACTGATGAAATAGCTGCTGGAGATTTGGAATTCATATCGACCAACAAAGTGACCAGGATAATTAACTGTTGCTGCAAGCAAATCCCAAACCATTGGTCATCCATCGGTATCAAATACCTCTCATTTCACTGGAGAGAAAATGAAATCGTCAAAATAAAGGAAGAGACCATGACTAAGATCTATGATTTCATCAATATGAGCCTGAAGAAGTCCGAATGCGTCCTTGTCCACTGCATCAATAACGAAAGTGTGCTCTACCTGATTGCAGGTATATTCCTGATGCTTAAGTTCAAATGGTCAGTGAACAAGGCCATCCAATACTTGTGAATCAAGCAGCCTTGCTTCTACATTGTGCCTCAGTATCATAAGAGCCTCCAGAAATTGGAGCACATCATGCGAGCCAAATACCGCGAAGATGTCTCTGAAGAATGGGATCTCCAAAAGATCAAGACTAAAGAAGAAATGGTTATCACCAATACTTACATTAACACAAGAATTCTCATGGAAGAAGCCAATCAAGAGAACATTAAGGAAGAAGAGAAGGATACAAATACTTTTAGAGAGCAACTGCAGGCCAATGTGCCACCAAATAACAGAAATATAGGCCAGAAATCCTCTACTTACAACAATGAGATCAAGGCTACTAAGCCTACAACACGCATTAAATTCAAGGAAGAGATCAAGGTAGGTTAAGCACTTTGTATCCTGTTATCTAAAATATATCCAACTTTCATCTTCTACAGTTATGAGGCTAGCTTAGCCCTAGAATACTCTAATTGTCCTAATTCTGACCCTAGACTATAATCCACAGTCCATTAGAGGAACCAAACCTGGCAAAAAGGGTGAAAAATTTACCTGAGGTAAATTGCCATCGTGAAGAAACTGCCCTCTCATCCATCCTTTGCAATAAGGAGAAAGTGTTAAAGCCGATCCCGGTGATGCCATCCCAAAAGATGTCTAACAAAAGTAGGTTTCGACTAATCTCCATAGATAAGAACAATTCCTTCATCGGAGGTGTTGGCATAGGCTTAAGGAAGATCAATGAAAGCTTGGAGCAGGATCCATCCTCCAAACTCTATCAAAATGACTCAACCCCAAAAGGTAAGCCTTTTCCGTCTGATCTGGGTAGAAACCAAAACTAATAAAGCAAAGAAACGGGTCAAAAGTGCCAGACCCAAAGACAAGAAAGACAAGATGAAGTCCAAGAAGGATTCTAATAAATACGATTATATTCCTGGTTTCCAGCCGCATGCTTATCTTCAGGAATCGAGGCCCCTCAAGAAGGGTAAAAAGAAGCCATCTAGTGAGAAAGGTGAGAGGAAAAAGAAGTCTCAGGCTACTACTGCGAAGCAGAAGAACAACTTCTTCCAGCCTACCAAGGGGAAGATGTCCCTGAATCCATCAACAAATGAGTTTCAAAATATCTTGAACAAGAGTGGCCTGTCCGATATTGATATGACAAAGAAATTCTTGCTAAATAAAATTGCTAACAATGAAACTGATGCTGACAAGTACATGAAATTTATAGAAGCCAAAAATAGGAAGAATGCACCTGATGAAGAAGCCAAGGAGATCAAAGGCAAGAAGAAGAACTCTAAAACCGGCCCTGTTGTCAATGTGAATTATAACTCGTACATAAGAATTGGAGCGTACCCTCCTCCAGTTATCAATACGTTAATTGTGAATGGCAATAACTACATAAATCATGGCAATCCCCATGCCAATAGTATGTATCGGTGGATTATATCATATAGAGAACTTCGCAGAAGGTGGCAAAAACCAGAAGTCAAAGATCCTTGCTTCCTCTGGCTCGAGTAAAACCAAAAGTATGTAGACTGCATGGTAATTTATAGCTAAAGCAAGACCTTCCTCAGGGGCTCAAGCGAAGGTGAGGCAGCAATACGGCTCTGTTAACACCAGATCTTCTAAAATAAAGGAACCTGCCTCTAGCAAGAAGCCGCAGGATGCTTTCAATCTTGTCCCATTTAGTGTGGGGCAGAAGAATAAACTAACCACGTAGGATTTTGTGCTGATCTATAGTCCAACAAATCAGAGAGATAAGCCTAAAAAATTCAAGAAATCTAAATAGATTTGATTTTAATTTTTCAATTCACCGAAAACTGCATGGGGTTTTGGGGTTTTGGGGTTTTGGGGTTTTGGGG